CCTTGACCTTTGTGCGGCGCTTCCTGTAATGTTAACCCGTGTAGATTTTCTATAATTCCTTATCCCAGTAATTTAGACAGAAAATAATAATAATGATACATTGTCAGATGAAGTGATATATATATATATATATATATATATATATATATATATATATATATATATATATATATATTAATGTATACTTAATACTTCTCGAATTCACTCTCGCGTGGTCATGTGTGACCTCATGAGCTGCGGTGCGATTTTCGTTTCTAGCGTCTTATATGCACGTGTTTATCGTTGCTAGGAAATCATCCACGTAAACAATCACACACTATCATCACTGTCTTGTCCGTATATTGCTTAATATATTGTACAGTAATTGACATCTTTGATAATGGCTTATGTAAGCCGAAAGCTTAGATTGGATTAAAAAATATGTATCAATATTGTGATTTTCTTTCTTTGTTTAATGATAATGTTATTAAGCTTATCAGACGTTATGAAAAGAATTTACATAAAATAAATAGACAACACTTGTCTCTATTATTTAATGAAACATTTATAAATATATATATATATATATATATATATATAGTTGTATATTTAGGTAGCAATCCTTCGTTTAGGCATGTTTCATTAAAAACGACAGACAAGGTACTGTCCAAATGTTTTATACTTTCCGGAAGTATAAAACATTTCGTTAGTCTTTGTCCAAAAAAGAAAGCTCTCATTCGAACACAAGAAAAATTAAATAAAAAGCTTAACCGTAGTACCTTGTCTGGCGTTTTTAATGAAACATGATGTTAAATATACTATATAATATATATATATATATATATATATATATATAACTTTTAACAAAATGTGTTTGGAACATTTGCCTGTTAAATATACTATATATATATATATATATATATATATATATATATATATATATATGTGTGTGTGTGTGTGTGTGTGTGTGTGTGTGTGTGTGTGTGTGTGTGTGCGTGTGAAATTTCACACAAAAAAAAAAAATTCAAATAACCTTTGCTGACTCTTGGAAGAAAACCTCCGTAAAACTCAGAGTTCGGTTAGAAAAATTTAAGTGAACTATTTTTTTTTAATTACTCTCTCTCTCTCTCTCTCTCTCTCTCTCACACACACACACACACACACACACACGCACACACATTATTGCTTCAGTCTGATTTTGTTTTCGTCCACAAGTTCAAACAACACTTTCCAAAAATTTTTGGATTTTGTTCTAACGAATAGCTCTCCTGGAGAAAGTTTCCAAACCACAACGCTAAGGCAGACACTTCTGGGATTTACCGTTATTTTCTCAGCTTAATTTTGTTTCTCACAAGTTCATTGTTGATCTATTTGTCGAAAAATTAGTGAAACATAAAACAAAAATGAAAGACGAGCTTGCATAACAGCGCTTCTGTAGGCTCTACTGTTTTAAATGTTGTATAGAGAAGCTTACTCAACCTGGTATAAGGCTGCCGTAGTGGAGCTCCAAGTAAATTTAGAACTCTCGATATCATCGAACTGGTTTTGAAGAGTCCTTTGCTCCCGACTGCGTTGTGATAGGCACCTTGGGAATAGGTACACAAAATATTTATTTTTACAGACTCCGGCCTTTTTTTCTCTACGTAGCATAACATTCTAATGGAAGTCATACTTGGCTTTGCAATGGTTATCTAGTCAGCATATGCCAGGTGTTATGTGAAAAATTCCACGCCAGGTCAAATTTATTTCAAGCTTGACAAAACGTGTCTGTAGAGGCGCAAGTATGCAGGCGTCTATTTGTATACGACCACCCAGGAAGGAAGTACGGGTTTCAAGATTTGAGTGCTCGCTGAAAATGCTGACTTTATTATAATAGCCATTTAACTTTTATTACTTCCCTGAAAAATATGATTGTGTGGTTTGGCCATGATTTTTTCTTCTGTCAATAAATACCAGGGGTAAGATTTTTTTTATAAAGTTCACTGACGATGGGATGGAGTGAATTCATACTTCACGCCTCTTACTTCTTTTTCTTAAAACTTCCTATCCATTTCTCTTTCTTTTTATTTTTCCAGTTGCTATTTTTCTCCTGCACCATGTCTTCTTCTTCTTCTTCTTCTTCTTCTTTTTTCCACCTTCCTTCTTCTTCATTCTTCTTCTTTTTCTTCTTCTTCTTCACCTCCCTCCGCCTCCTCCACCTCCTTCACCACTTCCTCCTTCTCCCCTTTTTCTCCACCTCCCTTTTACTCCACCTCCCTCTCCTCCTTCACCTTCTTCTCTACCCCCGCCTCCCTCCTCCTCTTCCTTCTTCTCCACCTCCCCCCTTCTTCTTCTCCACTTCCCTCCTCCTCCTACTTTTTCTTCTTCTTCACCTCCCTCCTCTTTCTTCTTCTTCTTCCGACAGCTTCAAATTCTTCTTGTTTGCATTCTTTCATGTCTTCTTTTTCTATACCTCTTCTTTTTCTTCTTCTTTTTCTTTTTTTCCTTCTTTCCTTTCTTCTTCCTCCTCCTCTTCTTCTGAACGCTTCCCATCCTTCTCCTCTTCCCAGTTGCTATATTTCTCCTCCTCCCTTTTCATATCTGCTTTTTCTCATCTTTTTTCTTTTTTCCTACTTCTTTTTGGTAGATCATGAATAATGCTAAATTAGTTCCGCAATTATAGAGAAATGAAAGAATCAACTGACTACTCTAGCTTCACCAATATAAACTTCTTATTTTCGATGTAACATCTTTTTAAAATATCATAAACCGAATTTCTTCAACGAAAGAATAAAAGTTATAAAAACTTGTTCAGCTTCTGTCGAAAAATCCATAAAAGCCTTGGTGTTATCTTCGCCACGCGTATTCTTCTCCTTCCAAACCAACCAACAGACAGAGCTCAAGAAAGCGTATAGGTTCACAGCCCCACGTGTTCAAATAAACGTCACTTATCCAAAAGGTTATAAACTTTTAGTCTCTCAGAGCTTTCACCACCGTTTAGTTGATTACAAAAGGAACAAAAACCAACCAAATGAGATTTATTCGTTATGGTCGAAGTACTTTAATAAATCTCATTTGATCACATATATCCACCTCTCTTCATCTTTGACGAAGACCAAAGAAAAGAAGATCTAAAAATCAATTAAAAAAATAGTTTAATAAAATATTTTTAAAATAATGTATTTTGAAATTTCCGAAAATAATTACAGCGTCTTTACAAAACAATTAAATGTTTAATTACATGATGTGGTTCAGTTCAAACCTCGGATAAAAATGGTAATATTAATGTAGACATCGAAGTAAGAAAAAAAATGGTCGGCTTATTCTATCACTCCAGGAAATACTTGTCTGATTCTGCAATGCTTTAGCTTTACAAGAGGCATTATGGAACCGATTCCAAAAGGAAGCATCCCCACTACAATCTTAACCTGTTCAAGTCCAGGGTTAACTTTTATTTTCCCCACATGTCCGCTGTGCCTCTTACTCAGTAATGCTCTACCTTAAATGGCTTTCGTGCTTTGTACAGGGTGAACATAACTCTAAAAGAAAATGAAGTGTAGCTACCATATCTAGACTGGAGCTACACAATCTTCACTTTCCAGTCATGATAGAATTCAACATAGTTTACGCAGTCTTGTGACGGAAGGCCTTACTCTCCATTATACAACCTTTTTCTCCACAAACGCAACTCTGTACGTACATTGTTACTCTTACCAATATTTTTATGACAAATGTTAAGATAAGCTGCATTCTTTACTTCCACCAGGTCAGACATTTACTACTACGACAGACTATGCTATTACCATGAAGTCGAATCACCTATATTACCCCCGTCTTCCAAATAAGAGAAAGCTTCACTAGGACAACCTTCTTCTTTTTCAAGTACTACAACTGCTATAATGCTGGTATAATCTTGTAGTTTTGGTTAATAATATTCCAAGGAAAACGCTGGAACAAAAGACTAGTGAGGAAACTGTTTAATTACATAGATTAATAATACAATAATAGCGAAGATCGTAGTTAGTGCGGCAATACGTGCGACACACTTTGGAACTCTACGACTCGTGGTCCTATGAGCTGATCACCCACTCATAGTGAATGGGTGAGTCTATGTTCAACTAGTTAGTGTAGCGAAGGCTGGTTGTCTTTCTACGCAACAACGACTTTGTGGGATAAACTTCCTCATAGATGCTTCCCTAAACATTGCAGTCATGGCCTCTTCAAGTCAAGGGAAAATCGTTATCTTTCCTCATAATCTTCACTTCCTACCAACCCCTCTTTACTTCGTATCACATAACTCATTCATCATAATCATTTTAACAGTTACCTTTGACCTTGAATGAAATGTGTGCCTTGTATTGGGCGGACGAATCTTAATTAAAAAAAAAAATGAAAGGAACAAATCTTTATCAAGTGTCCCGTAACCCATCAGATTCATTAGAACACCACATGTACTGCAGCCTTAACAAAAATGTCTAAGGCAAGATAGTCTGACGGAGCCCATCCCCCTTCTCTCCTGTTTTGAATTTAGCGCTTTCCTTCCTGATTGCAATAGGTAAATAGCAGGACAGTCTGGGCTCTATTGCCTTTTGTGGCAACCGATCTAGAAGAAGGAAACTCTGAATTCAAACTAGCTAGGAGAGGGCTGGGCTCCGTCAGGTTATCTTGCTGAAGACATAAAACTTCTACTGCGGCTGAAGTACTTGTGGTACCGTGCGACCCTAATAGGTCACGGGCTCGTGATCGTGAAACTGATTCTCACTACAAAGCAAAGGAGACGAATCTGTTCTGCTATTTAACCGATAGCCGGAGTAAAGTAGATCCATGCGTATTCCACAGGCATTAGTGTGAAATGCATCAAACACAATCGGCCAGAATTTGAACTCTGTTCACCGATTTCAATTTCAACGACTATAAGTCTTGACAATGTATTAAAAGCTAATGTTTTAACTCTAAAATTCTATGTTCTCTGAAAGAGAAGAAATTATACAATATTTTACAAAGAAGATTTTTTTCACTAAGTCATATCTGTATAATACTAAAAGTCTGTAATTGCATGCACGTTTGCGTGCTTGTGTGGTGCGTCCGTCCGGTGCATAATGATTTAAAAAAATTTTATACAGTAAGTATTTTTTATTTTATCTTTCTTCAGCCATTTTTTTTATCAAAATATTTTTAAGTTAAAGACAGACACAAAGAGATCCCGCTTTGCTGTTTCGTCCAGTTGTTTGTAGAGTAATTATTTATATTTCAGCTTGCTTTAAATAAAAGATATTCTAATCATTTAAAAAATGTTTTAAAGTTAATATATTTTAAAATATTTTAAGTGAATAAGATTTAAAAATACAAGTTTTTTTTTTCTATAGAGTAATTATTTTTATTTTAACTTTATTCAAACAGACAATTTTTCAATTAAAATATTTTTAATTTAAAGACAGGCACAAAGAAATCCCGCTTTGCTGTTTCATCCAGTTGTTTGTATCGTAATTATTTATATTTCAGCTTTCTTTAAATAAACAATATTTTAAATATTTAAAATAATATTTTTAAGTTAATCTGATTTAAAATAATATTTTAAAGGAATAAGATTTAGAAATACGAGTTTTTTTTTTATACAGTAATTTTTTTTTATTTTAACTTTATTCAGACATATTTTTCATAAATATTTTTAGCATATTAAAAATATTTTAAAGTTAATCTGATTTAAAGTTTATCCCGAAAGTTCCATTCCTATTAAATGCTGTAAACAATCAGTAAAACATTAAACATGAACTTGTAAACCAAACCAATGATGACACGAATGAATTGAAATATTTAACTGAATCATAATAAAATTTACTTTCATTTCAATGGAATGTTGAAATCAACTTCAATGTTTTATAATCTGAACCGCCAGTGATCCAACGGGTCACGGGTAGTCTAGTAATATATAAAATGTTCATTTGGCTACGTTATGGCGTACGTTTGATTATTTTCTCCAGTCTAACGTCAGTTCGAGTAATGTAGCATTTTTGCTTTTAATAAATTATTAAATGTTTTTTGATATTTTCGCCTACCTCACCCCCCCCCAAAAAAAAATTCACCTGGAATGACTTTAACTTAATGAATAAAACATATTCTCGAAGAAATTCGCAGATGTTTGTTTTCCAAAAGTCACACTAAATTGCCCGTTCATCATAGAATCAACCGTATATCAAATTACTTTTTGTAAGCTTCTAATTCTAAGAGTTATTCGTCAGTCTTCTTTCCTTGTTGCGAAGGATATGAGGGTGGTGTAATGAATAGTGGTTTGCAATGAGAAATCGGAGAGCTGAGTTCAAATTCCAGTCAGGTTCATTTTTCCACGAATACTCTTGGAAAAAATATTAATCCTTATCCTCCCCATCTATAGGTTAAACAATAGCTCTTGTATCTTGAAAAAGTTTTTAATGCAATATTCACTTCCACAAAAAGAGTAACGATTCTTTAAATATATGTTTCAGCTTTAAATAACCTACAAGAGAGGATTGATAATCCGTAAAAAATCAAACAGTCTTTGTTGGAAGTGTTTGAAGATTAGATTTCTTTCATATTTTGATACAATCAGTTGCAATACACTGCGTGCCAAATTATTATCGATATAACTTTTTTCTAATATTTCAAAAACTGTCCAATCAATTCACACAAAATTTTCACACAATGTTGGCAACACTGACTTGCGCAATCACTGAAATTTTTGTACTGATCTGCGCAATGCAAACAAACTGGCGCCATATTTGTTATCAGCAAGGTGATATAGTTATGGTCACATTTGCGGTATGCTTTCTACTCTTCTTCCCGGTCAACACAAACTGATTTTTTCTTCAGGAAACTATCAGAAAAATAAGACAAACAATTCTTATCTCTTTACAATGTGATAAGAAAAAGCACAGATGAAGCAGAATTTCAGTGCAATCATATCTTTTTTTTTTCTTATCGTTTCTCCCCAAGCAAAGCGACAATGCCACTAGAACGGAGGAGGTTACAAGGAGTGAAAGGGAATTAAAACGAGAAAAGTGAGAAAATTGCAAAAAATAGGGGATTGAGGAAAAGACAAAAAAAAAAGAAAAAAGAAAAAGAAAAAGGGTTCAAGAAGGTGGCGAATGGCGTTGCTTTTGAAGATTGTAGTTAGCAGGGAAGTAAGAAATCGGAAGGAACTTCCACAGATGGTAAGTGCGAGAAAAAACTGTTAGAATAGAAGTGGCGTAATGCATGTAACTAATTCAATAGTAAAACGGTGAGACCTAATTGCTAATCTAGTAGCACGCTTCAATTCATGTAATCGAGGCAGCAGGGAAAAAGAAACTCTTCAGAACAGTTGCCATAAAAATATTTGTAGAACAGGCAGAATGAAGCGACGTGACGTCGGTGAGAATGTGATTGGAGACGAGATGCCAGGTCAGGACCGATTGTATTGCAGACCCTTCTCTGGATTTAGCCAAGAATCTTGAGATGTCCAGTAGGAGCAGCAGACTAGATATGGCAACAATATACATGAACAAATGATAGATTTATAAATGATCA